CTGTCGGCGCAGCGGCGCCTGGGCCTGGAGGCCCACCTGTCGGCCCTCCGCGAGGCCTCGCTGGCGTCGGAGCTGGAGCGCGACGACAAGCCGCCCGGCGAGGAGGTCCCCGCGGGGGCCGACGGCGGCGCCCTGCTGCCGTACGTGTCCAACATGCTGGCGGCGCCCCACGCGCAGATCTTCATGTGCCCGCTGTGCAACAAGGTGTTCCCCTCGCCGCACATCCTGCAGCTGCACCTGAGCTCGCACTTCCGCGAGCAGGAGGGCGTGCGCGCCAAGCCGGCCGGCGGCGACGTCAACGTGCCCACGTGCACCATCTGCAGCAAGACCTTCTCCTGCATGTACACGCTCAAGCGGCACGAGCGCACGCACTCGGGCGAGAAGCCCTACACGTGCGCCACCTGCGGCAAGAGCTTCCAGTACTCGCACAACCTCAGCCGCCACGCCGTGGTGCACACGCGCGAGAAGCCGCACGCCTGCAAGTGGTGCGAGCGCCGCTTCACGCAGTCGGGGGACCTCTACCGCCACATCCGCAAGTTCCACTGCGAGCTGGTCAACTCGCTGTCGGTCAAGAGCGAGCCGCTGGCGCTGCCCAACGTCAGGGACTGGGCCATCGAGGACAGCTCGCAGGAACTCTGGAAGTAGACGCGCCCGCCGCCGCCGCCGCCGTCGCCTTCCAAAGGTGCCGCTTCCCGACCCTCGGTTCGCCTCGGCCGAAAACATCTCGGAAGGGCCGCCAAACGGTCCCGGCGCCGGATGGCGAGAACGGTCAAAGACTCCGAGTGGTTATTCCCGCCCTGCCTAAAAACGTTGCTCGTGTTAATCAGGTCAAACCGTACACGCGGTCACACGGCGACCCCCGCCCCTCCCCCTCCGTTTCCAGGCCCGCCCGCAATACGTGAATGGTTGCCATGCAGAGATCGCGGTTCAAGCAAACATCCCTCAGACGTGCTTTCTCCGCCCGCGTTTGCGAGACGGCGGAGGCTTACTTTGTTTTCCGATTCTCGCGGCGCGCCACCGAAGCAAAATGTCGACCGAGAGCGTACGCCTCCCTCCAATCGCGGTCATCTCCGCTCACTCGCCAATCGACTGCGGCGTGAAGTTTGGCAGCGGGTTGACGCGCGGCTTTTTCTGCTCCCTTCCGTCATCTCGCGGGCGAGCATCTCCTCGTTCCGACGGTCCGTATACGCCGCTGGCGCAGAGAGAGCTGTACGGTGGCACAAAGGAAGACATCATCCCCGGTTGGCGAGCGCCTAATTACCATCGATGCCCGGATCATCTCGCAAGCTTCCGCTTCCAAGATCATTTGAGTTTGGAACAAAAAACAAACAAATCAGCCGAGCGTACGTTTTGTTTGCAAGCCGTGGAATTGCAACGGTCAAGCAATAACCAAAGCGCCGCCGCGTTAGCGCCGCTGCGTTGGCGTCACAGCTCCAGCCTTGGAACATTCTTCCTTGACACCGATTTCTGGGGAAGCACAAATCGGTGGCGGGACTTCCCCCGCATGTGACCTCGCCTAAGTGTTGACTTGAAGCGTGTATTTGCGCAGGTCCGTTGCACCTGAGGCCATCTCGCGGAAGGGCACGGAAATGTCCCGCCTGCCACCACGCGTAAACAAGAAATTCGCATTCTCGGTTGACTTGCGGCGGTCGGGAATGCGCCTTTGAAGGCCACGCGGGTGTCCCGGCGAGTCTTGCACTTTACTAGCACATGAACACACGTTACTACTGACTTTTTTTGGGGGGGGGGGGGTTCTCTCGCATTCTCAATGTGGCCCAAGGTCCGGCCTTTCAATTTTTCATTTCTGTCTTTCATCTCACCACTGGACAGGCAAGACACTCAACGGGTATCACCATGCGCACTTCGGAGATGCGTGTGCGCGCCTGTGTGTGTGTGTGTGTGTGTGGGTGATGAGATTTTCCACCGACAAGGCGGCGCCATTAGCCTGTTCAGGGAGCGGCTGACAAAATGAAACGATGGCACTCATGCAATGCACGGCCTCCTTTTCTTCTTCTTTTATGATGACTAATTTTCAATCGGCCTGAAGTATTTTCTAGCATTGGACAAACGATTACTGAGGAATAATTTTTCTTCAATGTAGCTGGCAGTCCTTTTGTGAAGAAAAGTATTTCATTTCAGGTTTTGTTTTTGTTTTTTTTTTCCTGCTTTTGTTTCAATTCATTTCCGGTGATGATGATGATGGTGATCAATCATTTTATTGGATTTTATTTTCTCTTTTTAACCTCCTGTTGCATGACTGTTACACTTGTACATTTGAAGTTTTTTTTCTTTTTTCTTGAAGACAATAATGTGAATTTGCTGTATTAATGTACACATTGTTATTGATCAAATTTGACTTTTTTTTTTTTTTTGTGAATATGCTCCTACTACTACTACTACTACTCCAGGGTGAAGCCAAGCTGACTATGACCGGTGGGGAGGGGAAAAACGCATGCATGGGATTTTGTGCGAAAAAGTTGGCAATTTGTGGGCGGGAAGCTCTTGAAGCCGGCGCGTGTGTGTGCACTGATCTCGGCTGTTTTTGTGCGTGTGCGTGTGTGTGTGCAAGCGTTGGAAGAGACAAGCACCTTTTTAAGCTATAAAAAAAAACAACAACATGAAATTGCGTGCTGGAATGATGCCTTCTTTGCGACTGAACATGTCGATTGAAAAAAAGAAGAAGAATCTGTTTGGGAAAACGTTACGGAATTGTCCAAACCAAATCCACCAGAGCGGATTTTTAAAACGTTGTTTGTGTGTGGTTTTTTTTTTCATATACAGTATATATATATTTTTTGTTTCTATTTGGGAGATGGAGCTCGGTTTGGAATGGTCAAACGTCTCATGCAATCCCCCCAAAATAAAGAGTTGCTGAATGCTTCATCGCCCTCAAGCGCGCGCGCGCGTGGATGTGTGCACGCGCGTGCACGGCCAGCCCGCCCATTCATCCAACCTGCTGCAGTTTGCGTCGTCACTGCTGTTTTTTTTTATTTATTGTAATATTTCTGGTTGTACTTGAGCGCCTTAAACTGCTGTAGTCCAGGCTGATTGTTGCTCTGATTTTCTTTCGGAATTATTATTATTATTATTTTAATTTAAGCGTATTTGTAATAATTTATTTGCGAGTGTCAGGCTGTGAACAAACCACAGTCGGACCTTTTTGCTGTGTTTACTTGAAAACGAGACGGGTGCGGGTGCTCTTCTTTTGATGTTCATGAAATCAAAATTTCAAAAAACGTCTTAGACCGTTTATGGGGAACAGGAAAAAATAAGGACAATCACCATCTTGCGGGGTCAAAACAGGCAGATTTTTTTTTTCAGATCGAATCGCTCCCTTGTTGAGAGGAAAATGTGTTGATTTTAGGGTTTTTTTTTTCAATTCGTTTGAAATGGAGATGTAGAGAGTTTTAGCTTTGACAATCATCGTTTGTTTTTCTCAAAGGGGAGTCAATTCGAAATGTGTTTCGTTTTTGTCATTTCCGGTGTGCTGTTGGCGTTTTTCAATTGTGTGCAAACTGCAATAAATGATCAGATTCTTCACGTTGGACCTCTGGCTCTTTTTTTTTTTTTTTGCTCAGGGAGCCTTTCCGGGCTGGTTTATCCCGAAAATCCATTCACGCGTCCGTTCGTTCTGCGTGTGTCCTCACCTGACGCGGGCGGGGGCCAACCCCGGCGATGCGGCGGCCCGGACTGGAAGCGCGTGGCACGGGTGGAGCCGTTCGAGCCTCTCCGCCGCGCGCTTCGGAGCAATACGGGAGGAACCGCGGGCCAGAAGCCACCCGGGAGCCGGCGGTGCCGTTCGCTTGGCCGCGGCACGCCACGCACCCATTCGGGACCGATCCTGGATGCTGATGTGAAAAGTCACCGCCCAACGAAAAGAGAAGTCGCTAAGAAAACGAGCACCGCCATGTCCGGCTTGAGGCGCTCGAAACCTTGAGAGGAGGGGGAAAAAAATCCACGGGGAAAGTACAAGGCACTCGTTTCAATTCGTGGATTGAAATGAATGTTCAAGTTGACATTTCAAGGAAATTATTCGACTCGCACATGATTGAGGGACAACAATGTCGTTGATCCAAATTGAGTTGGCAAGTGAAATGGCGGCCGTCCCTCCCTCCGCCTGCGAGTCTCCTCCGCCGATTGCAGCCGAGTCGGACGGCTGCCGTGTAAGTTGACGTTAAATTATTATTTTCATTTTATATTTCAGCATTATATTCTTTTGTCTTACAGTTACCTAGGTTATATTACGTTGAATAACTGCTTAAACAAGTTTATGTCGACATTGTCTGATTGGCTGAAGGAAACCAGGAAGTGTTTGTGTTACCGGAAAAAGGGATGTTCGTTCGAGAGTTACGGAGCAGACGTTGGAAAAGAAAGAGCTGCGTTCAAAACAAGTCCGTCTCTCCTTTTTTGCCCATTCCGAACGGAGAGCCGTCCATCCAAAACCTACGAAGCCCTCCATTTACACCCGTTTTGTTGCCCGTCCGCTTCGACTCCTGACACCGCTCGACGCCTTTTTTTTCCCTCGACTTTTCTCGATTCGTTTGTATGCGCTAAATCTAAATCTGCCTTTGTTTTTTTCCCTCGAGCACATCCGGTTTTCACAATCACAATCATCATCATGTGTCACAAGGACGAATTAAGGGTTGAGCAAAAGGTGCAATTCTTTTCTGAAACGGCATCGCTCGAGCGCATGGGAAAATCCGCATTGCGCAAACTCTTACGCGTCGTCCTTAAAAAGAAAAAATATATATATACATATATATCGACAACCTGCGGTGCGAGACAAATAAGCAACATTTGTGAAATCGGCCTCAAAAAATAATTTTCGGCTGACGCGAAATTTTCCGTTGATCAACACCTTGTCAAAAGTGGTCTGCGGAAGGTTTTGGCGGGCTCTCGCTGGGCGCGTCGACGCACGCAAACTTTGCTCAGCAGCTTGTTGCCCCCCCCCAACCCCCCCAACACGCACGCACAGCTTGTAAGCTCCTCAAGGAGTTTTGCAGCAAAGAAATCAGCTTTGAGCTGCTCTTACAGATGCACCGAGAGCTGGGCAGCCATCAGTAGGCCACAGATGGCCTCCTCAGTCAGCCCACCTCGGCCCCCGCCCCCAGGACACACACACACGCACGCACACACACACACACAAGCAACATAAGCTTGCTTCTAATCTCCACGTCTGACAAACGCCTCATTTTGCTGCGAGGAACCTGCGAAGAAGCACAAGCAAGTTGAGAAGGGATACTTGAGGTTCCCTCGGGATTCACCTTTTGAGGTCACGAGGTCAGGCAAACGGTCGCGACGAGAGACGTGGAGACAATTCTCCTTCTTCACCATAAGAGCGCATGCGCCGTGTTCAGTTCAGTGCGAGTGTGATGTTTATTATGTTTTGTTGTCCAATGACAGGTCCACCAAAAATCTCATCAATGTTGATGTCCAAATCATTCTTCTACTCAGTTCACACGAAAGATTACAGTTGCAGAAAAACAATGCCCCAAAATATGATCATTGATCCTTGATTGAAATCCAATTCCAATGAAAGCGTCCAGTTAAAAAAGGCCACACGTGGGGCACTCGTGAAATATTTTCATGCGCTTTTTGCGCATCTTCCAACGACCTGGGACAGTATTTGGCGAATCCATCCCTCCCCAAAAGATTTTTCCGTCACTGGTCGTGTTGCGCTGTCCTTTGAAGGGCCAACTGAGGTTTGGGGAGGAATTTGTTTTGGCGTCCCCATCAGCGGGCGGGCGGCGGC